TAAGTTCAGTGGTCCACTGCAAAGCTCCCTAAAGTCAATTGAGTGGTGATATGCTAAATTGCAGTTTGTTATCAACTCAGTCAAGCAGCTTTACACTTGAATCCAAGCCACTGGCCTGGATCGGAAACAGTGTTCACCATGCACCTCAGGGCTGCATGAAGCATCTCAATGAGCATGCAGAGCAGAATGAAAATTTAATTATAATGTATCGAGATAATAATTTTGTTGAAATACAAGGAACTAAGACAATGCTGTAATAGCTTCCACTTCTTTATCAGATCAGGTGTTAGGAGGCTAGCACTATTATAAGCAGACATTTCTCCCTGCCCATTCCTGTTGCATTTGATTTCTTCCCATAGGAGTAACAGAGGGCAGCTCACATCCATAGCAGTCAAAACGAATAATGAAGAGGAACATTGGATTTGCTGGGAAGCAGGCCAGAGGCAGCCTATCACCACTTTGCCTTCTTCAGGTTAAGCTTGTCCAAAGGTTTGACTGCATGGGAAGTTGGACTTAATCTGCTTAGGGTTCCAAAGGGCAATGACATAGATTTGAGATGAAAATAAGTAGGTTGCTTCATGCATTATATCATAATGACTTGGGGTCAGATTAGTTTATCTGTATGGCTACAAATCTCTGTCTAGGAGAGTTAATAATATCACCCAGCATTTTCCCAAAATAAATTCACGTTTTAAAAATAAAAAATACTTATATTTTACTATGCTGTAGTGTTGCTTGATTGCCATGGCTTATAATAAAGATCTCTGTGGGCTAGCCAGATACACTGCATGTTTGAGAGAACAGAACAGAATTCCAGACTCACTGGATTAGTCCTCCCTAAGGTTTGCCATTCAAATTTCTTAATAACATATAAGAAAAATGTAAACTACCATCTCTGCTGATTTGTAGCTTAGACATGACAACATTCAGAATTTCCCCCCAAACAATTCCAACCAGATCAAGCATTAATTACTTGGCAATTTTCTGAAGTATGATGCAATGTCTGAAAGTTGTCTGCTTTTCAGTTTTAATTATGTCAGTGGCACTGTATCTCAAACAGATGAAAATCCTATTGATTTCAATGGTACTACCCAGTAAGCATACTTGGGATTGAAGCCTAAATTGCACAGCAAAGGTATTTGTTTAATGTACCATTGTAAACAGCTCATTCAAAGTTGAGAAAGTGTCAAAATTGTCTACATGCATAATAGAAAAATTGAGGGTCCTTAATAATTATGGAGCTATTAAGCAACCACTTAAAGCAAATTAATCATGTCTCCAAGTATGACTGGTGATAAGTTTTAGACAGAATGTTTTTCTAGCATCACTGCCTTTGATGCCTGTCACAAGAGGATGGAGGCAAAATGCAAAGATGGGTTAAAAGTTCAGCAATTTGCTGTCTACCTTACCCTCGTTTCTATGTACATATATTTTTGAGATAATCTGTGTGAAGGACTTCATACTCTCAAAAGGGTAGAGGCCAGATCTCAGCCTCTTATGGTCTAAGGCACTCACTTAGGTAGGGTGGACAGTATTGTTATCTCCATAATAGGACAGTGCCATTATTTGCACAAAGCAGAAGAGAGGCTGAAGCTAAGAAAAAATGGCTCACTTGTGGTAAAGGTAAAGGGACCCCTGACTGTTAGGTCCAGTCATGAACGATTCTGGGGTTGTGGCGCTTATCTCGCTTTACTGGCCAAGGGAGCCAGCGTACAGCTTCTGAGTCATGTGGCCAGCATGACTAAGCTGCTTCTAGCGAACCAGAGCAGTGCATGGAAACACTGTTTACCCTCCCGCCGGAGCGGTACCTATTTATTTACTTGCACTTTGACGTGCTTTCAAACTGCTAGGTTGGCAGTGGTAATGGTAGGACGTGCACTTAAATGCAGTAGAAATCATATTCATGTGAATTTTTAATCATTATTTTATTTCCGTCTTGAGTTGGGTTCCTGGAAAGGGTCATGGCTGAGTGGTAGAGCAGCCCTTTAGCATTCAGAAGTCCCCAGGTTTAATCCCCAACATCTCCAAATTGGGCCGGTCTGAAATCCTGGAGAGCTGCTGCCAATTGTGTAGAGAGTACTGAGCTAGATGGAACAATTGTTCTGACTCAGGGTAAGACAGCTTCCTATGTTTCTGTGAATATACGTGTTTAAGTTTTAAATAATTTTTTAAATATGCATGTTGATAAAATAAGTTTCTGAAGGAAAAGGCTTTGTGATGTGTTTGCCTGGTGCATATAAGAGTTATAGCCAGTGGTGTAGCATGGGCTACCAGCACCCGAGCCTGCACAGAGGGTGATGGGTGGGAGAAAGGGAAATGGACGTAGTATATATGCACTTTCAACTGCCTAAAGGCATACGTGTCTCCCAAGAGACTGCAGCCATAGAGATCAGAAAAGAAGAGTTGTTCTATTGTCTGGAGAGGTCACTTCCTGGTTTGCAAGGAGAAGCCATTTGCAACAGAGCCCAGCAACGGAAGGGGGCAGCTGTATTGAGGCAGCACTGGCTGTTGAAATTTTGCACCCTTAACATTATGCACCCAAGGCAACCATCCTTGTAGTCCCCCACTCTACGCCACTGGTTACAGCTGACAGTGGTTCTCAACCTGTGGGTCCCCAGATGTTGTTGGACTACAACTCCCATCATCCCTGAGCTCTGGCCTTGCTAGCTAGGGGTGATGGGAGTTGTTGTTCAACAACATCTGGGGACCCACAGGTCGAGAAAGGTTGCCTTAGAAGAAAGATTTACCTCCTATGGAAGAGAGGAGACAGAATGCTTTTTTTAAAAAAAGATGGTGATTGCTGCCTGAAGTTATCTGTTAAGTACTTGTATTAATATATATTGTGATTTTTTTATATATATAAATCCGCTGCCTGAGTCAGCTGATCAAAAGTGTTTTCAGGGGCTTCTTTGTGAACAGTTAATCTAAGCAGTTAATTGAAGGTTGCAATCCTTCCAGCATTAGTTCTTTCTTTCATTTTGGATTTGAAATTTTGATCACATTATTAGGTCCTGAACGTATCTATGTGGCAATCTCTCATCATGCTCATTTAGTAAGCAATTTGTCACTTTTGTGAGAAGGTGCTTCTAGAGATCAGAGAAGCTTTCATAAACTTAACCTCCCTCCACAATGAAACTCTGTCATAATCCCTCAAAAATTGGGATCAAATGTGTAGGTCATATGATGCTTCAGCAGGCAGCCTAACCAAATGATGGGAATCTACAATAGTAGTGTATTTACATGAAATAAGAACAAAAGATTGGGAGTTCATAGTAAGTCAGTTAGGGAAAGCTCAAATCATTTTTGAAAGACATTGGCAGTTGAATACAATAACTGCTCAGAGAGGATGGGTAACAAAGAGCTGGTATATTGCAGAAATCAAAAAAGTTTCCTATTATTCAACACTCCAGTGATGGAGAAATAGGTTTTGTATCCTTTAATAATAACTGGATAAAGGTGAACAGATTTCGGAAATTACTGTTACAGGTATCACCAGATCCTTTTTGCCAGTCTCCTAGCAATCACTGAATTCTATTTGTATCAGGTGATGAGCTATCAACATACTAATAAAAAAAGATGACAACATGCTCACCTGGAGAAGAATGGGGGAATTTTTATGTGGAACCATCATGTGACAAGCCAAGTTAAGAAGATCCAAATGCATGGGTTTTTTAAAAATCCAAAATATCCTAACCCCATCCTTAAACTCCTGTAGCCTGTCATCAAGCAGGTTAGAAACAAGAATTACTGTGTATTTAATTGAATTCCCCCAAAAGTTAATGAAGTGGCAGGCTCCTTCGTCACATCAGAAGACAAAGAGACATCCAATTCAAATGCTAAATAAATAAAGGCAGACATGATTCATCAATGTTGCCCAGGGCTGCCTTTTCTACAAAAAGGAAATGGCCCAAATAATGGTAAAATAAATCAGGTCCTACTCATTTCCTTGGTGCCTAATCTGGGAATGGACTAAACTCTTAGTTGCACAAAATATGGAACAATCCATTGGCACGGCCTTATCAAAGTAAAACTTGTCTTGAAGTGGGAAACAAAGCAAATAATAATAGAAACTCAGGTGAGAAAGCAGATCTCATATAGCCAGTGAAGCCCCTTGCCCATAGCTGTTGATCTTACCCACATCAGAATAAAAATATCCATCATGAACTGATCAAAAATCAAGAAAGATGGCATCATTCAGCAATGCTCCCCTGCAGTATGACTAGGGATGAAAACTTCTGTCAATTTTGGTTTGCTCCATTTCTCATTTTTCCAATCTGAAATTCAGTTATCCATATTTCTACAGCAATTCGCACTTTTAAAAAAGAGAAATCCTCATGAAAATACTTCAGCATTTTAGTGTCAGTTTCTCCTAATAAACACACATTTGTGTGCAGTTTTGACTATTTTACATGTTTTTGCAAATGATTGCTCCTAATATAATGCATTTTTGTATATTACTTTCACTAATATATTAATTTTTATGCACACTTTCTCTAAACATAATGCATTTTGTAAACATTGGTTACTTAGAGAACTACATGGTGAACTTTGGATCCATGCAGATTTCAAAGGATGGCTGAGTTTTGGATCTCATAGTGTTTCATAAAGTGTGAGTGAACTGAATCAAATCTGCCCCCTGCCCCCCAATCCCTATGTATGACATGTGATGCATTAACCAGAACTCATGCGAGAGCTTTTGGGCAACAATCTCAAAGAAGGGAGAAGGCAAAAGGGGCAACAGTTTTGACCTCACCAATCCCCCACTTAATTTTATAACCAGCCTTATTGCAACACTTTACTGAGCTCAAACACTAAGCACCAGGCCCCTTGCTATGAAGCCAAATTGCTTTTTGAACTCATGTTCAACATAGGATCAAAACCATGAAAACCAATGGAACCTATTTAAAAGTGGGAACTTTCATAACAATTGTATAATGAATTCTTTTTTTTAACGGGAAGAGTGTGAAATAATATAATAAACTATGTCCTTATCTCTGCAGATAGCCTGGTTGTCCTGGAGTCCCTCCCCTGTGGATCGACGTCTGTGGCAGGCACAAAAGAAGGGTTTTTAAAGCACAGGACCTTCAAGGTGAACTGGCAGAAGTGGGTTGAATCATGGTGTGGGATATTTCAAGATACATTTTTAAAGGATGCATCATTTTCTCCGGGGAGATTACTCAGAATGCAACAAAGGAAGGCCTTTCCTAATTAAATACAACAGTACTTTTGGCAGTAAGGGGGGCAAGCTCTCAGACTCCGAGACTCCTTAGATGGGCTCATTTCTTTGACAGTCTTTGGCCTTGACTTTCTGTCCTCAGAAATTCATTTCCAGCATCTCCTGCCAAACTGTCTTCTCTTCCTTCCTCTAGTTTATTTATCCTGAGCTCCTTTTGCCTGCCCTTTCTAACATTTCCTTCCCTTCCTGCTGTCAACTTGACAAACCCCTCACTTGGATCTCAGCTCTTTCTCTTTGTTTTCCTCTGTATCCTTCTCTCGGCTTTTTGCCTCATCCACCTCCGTAGCTGACACTGCCACTGAAAATGATGGAGTGACTTCGTTCTGTGGAGGCACAGCAGTATACCCACCACATCAGTGCACACAGAGGCTGGTATATGCACACAAGGATTGGTTTCCCCCCACACCACCCAAGTGAGAAGAAAAGGAAATAAGAGATTTTGTTTCCTACCTCCCAAACCCTCCCTGATGAATCATTTCATGATTCTGCCACAATCCTTCAAAACGTTCCATGACTTATTCCACTTATCTCACTTATTTCAATGGGATTTTGGAGCAGCTTAACACTGTGCAGGATTTCAGTCCATGTCTATAATTTCCCTTGAACTACATGTTTTGCGGGGGGGGGGGGAGGATGAGAGACAAAAAAATTAAGTATTTGATGCGGAAGAGCAAATTAATTCCATATAAGTTAAAAAAAAACAAAACAACCCTCACAATTCTAGAAATGTACAAATTAAATTTTACTCAGCCATTTTGTTGTCATTCTTGATCAGGAACTCAGTGTTCCATTACAGTATCGGTAATGAAAACACTGTGCTTTCATAACAGGCTGTTAGTATTCCACAAAGATTGACTAAGCGGGCTAAAATTGGACGTATTTGTTACATTTGATTTCCTAAAAAAATGTATGAGTGAAAAAACAGGAGATTAGCAATCTATAGCGTTTTGCTGGACAGCATAGTACTTCGAAATCGTTTGTGGTTTTCATCACATGTCTGACACATCATATGCAAAGCCAATTTCTTATCATATTGTACATGTCACTTTTCCTCCCTCCTTTGCAAAGCCTGGGTCCTGCATGCAAACTCTGAAATGTGATTGATCAAGTCTTAATGAAGCCAGACCTTTAGCTGAAATTCCAGCATTGCAAAGGGTTGGAATAGATGACCCTCAGGATCTCTTCCAACTCTACAATTCTGTGATTCTAAGAGGCCTTCCTATGTCCCACTTCCTATGTCCTTCCTCTGTACTTGGTGGTGGGAAGTTGTGGAAGAGACGGTTTCATTTGCAATACAAAGGCTGCAGGAGTGCCTAAGATTTTCTTATGAATTTGCAGTGTTGGTGGGTTAGGTTTAGGAGCAGCTAGGGTGGAGGCGCCCTGCCATTTACCAGGCCTCCTGGCACTGCCATCGCTGTGGGTTACCAGGAAGGGGAGGTGGTAGGGAGGTTGCTCAGAATGGGGACATTAGTGGGAACACCACACACTCCCCACTGACCTCCCCACTGCCTGGTCTTTCCACCCAGTAAGCTACACTGGCCCTAGTGACTGCAGGCTTGCACTAGATGCCTATATGCTATCAGACCAGGTTCAAGGTTCTTCTATTAATTTACAAAATTCACAGATTGTGTCCAGGATACTTCAGGGAGCACCTGATCCCTTTGATCCCTGCTTTATGCCTGAGGTCTTTGGGGAGTCACTGTTAGTGGTCCCCTGTGGCTTGGATGCAGGGCTTGTATCTGCGAGGAGCCGTGTCTTTGGTACTGTGGCCCCAATGTTGTGGAATTCCTTTCCAATTGAGGTCAGGTAGGCCCCTTCCCTGTTGAACTTCTGATGCTTTCTGTAGATAGTAATAAAAAATTCTAGCAGGTTTCTTAATCGGATTCTGATTTTACGGTTTCAGTCTTCTAGTTTTCTGTCTCTTGTGCCCTGCTTAGAGATGGCTGAATAAGCGGTATACAAATTGTTGAAATGGGTAAATGAAAACTAAATGCCCAAGCCCCTTCTTGCTGTCCGCTCTTGGGTAGCATAATGGAAACTGTACTTCTCGTTATGTATATTAGCCTTGAATATAGTATAAATTGCATGGGGATATCTGATACCTGTCATGTGTACTCTGTAGGCAACCTGGCTTGAACCAGATCCTTACTGCCACCATTTCCAGGAAGCAGCACAAGTCAGAAGTGTTAGAAATTGTGCTTCTCAGTGCTATTCCAATTCCAGGAGGAAGGGCATGCGGGTACACTAGATGATGCCATTAGAAATGTTAGAGCCTAGAGGCCTTCACTGTCTCAAAATTAATTTTTAAATGAGATTAATTTTCAGGCACCCAGCAGACATTTTCAAAACATCAATTTAGAATTGGATGCAAGAGGGAGGAGTGGGGAGGGTCTGGTCATTGCCATCTGCTTTTGTATTCAATTTTTTTTTGTAAAGGGCTTCTAGTTGTGATACCAGTGTAATGGGAGTTATGGTTCATTTGTATGGTTATTGCTGTTATTATTGACATGAAAACACTATGAAAGTAGTCAGCCCCCTAGTCTGTACCAAAGGAAATATGTATAAACACATGCACATGAACTATTGATTAGCTAATTTTAAATGGTGATAAAATAATGTGCCTAGTCTGGTCCCCGATAGCTTTTTACCCTAGATAATAACTCCAGATATTATATGTATTAATGATATCTGCATTAGTGCCAAGTAGAGTTCATTCTGGTTCAAGTTAATAAAACAACCGCTGAAGGAATTAATAAGAGCTTGCTACTTGTTGCAAAACAATTGAAACCCTGGAGGACTTGATATTAGAAAACTCCTGGGTGGTTGCTTCTTGTGAAAACTTTTGAATTAATTGTATTAAATATAAACATTTCTTAACTCCTGCAAGATTTACATTCCATGTCTCTCTTATAAATGCCATTCCTAACTCTTACTGCTCCTTTGGGACTTATTTAATTTAGCAATTGCTCCAGAAAGCACTTCATAAAAAACAATTATTGAATTAATTGTGATATTTCTAGCATAGCATTCATTTATGGCATCCTCACCACCTGTAATCCCTTTCCACAATTCCCTTATAGAAGCAAAATTGAGTAATTTTCAGTTCCTATTATACTCTATATTTATGATTATAGTGGAAATCTTGGCATGCTTTATGTTTAGGTCTTACTGTGCAATCTCACCCAGGGAATATGCCAGTTGGAGCTCTTTTCTAGGGTCCTATACATGTTTATCCACAAATATGCCCTACTGAGTTCAATGTGTCTTGCTACCATTTAAGCGTGTTATGTAATTGCAGTCTATAGATGTGTACATACACAGTCTTAAAGTGCATTCACTGCCTCTTGCAGATGCTTGGGCGGGGGACAGAGATATCTGAAATCTTGTGAAGTCATCAGTCAATTATGAAGGCCATCAATCTTTGGACCCTTTCAGACAAGCAATTTATACTGGGCCTATTGTGCAAGGTACGGTAACAGCACTGCAGTAACTCATAACCATCCATTCATACAATGAGATCTACACCTGAGGCTCTTCTTCAGGCACTCCCAGCAGCAGAAGGTGGGAAGAGACCAGGAAGAGGGTCCTTTCAGTGGTGGCATCTTGCCAGTGGAAGGCCTTCCTCAGGAACGGTCACTGGTGCTCACATTGCTATCATTTTGGTGCAATACGAAGACCTTTCTATATTCACAGGTTTTTAAACATTGCTGCTATTACCAGCTTTTGCTAACAGTGGCTATGCTCTTATTAATCTTCCTTAGCCTAAACTGATGACCAAGATCTAGCAAGCTCAGTGTGAATCGCACAGCCCTGAAAACGGAAACCTCTGTGTTCTTACTTTAGGCACTGCCACCATTTCTAGCTTAGAATTACAGTAAATCAGCCAAACTGGATTATTTCCCCTAGAAGCAGCTTTAAATAACACAGGACTAATTCTCACTGTAGATGCCATGTTGTAATTACCTTGGTTCAGAATAGGCATTGGTTTGACTCACAATGCTTCCATGTATTATGAGTTGAACATCATTTCTCCAGAAGCTCTTTGCCACCTCGGAATATTTCATGAGGTTCTTCACATGCGCAGGCTGCATTCAGATGGACCAGCCTCCTTTGTAGATAAAACCAGAAAGTTATGTACTGTTAGGTCCTTCCCTCTCAATGAAACGTCTGTTTATTACTGCGAAATTACATAACCAGACCACCCAACAAAGCAGACTTTTGTTTTATGAGTGTTCCTTCTATTTGGCTCTGGTGTCTCAACTGCTCCTTGCAAATGTTTTATGTGGTTGCTGCCCCCCATCCAGACCTAAAATCCTCTCCCACTTGGGGTGGCAATGGGGACAGGTTGAATTTCAGAGTGGCTCTTAGCCATGGCTAATACTAGCAGTAACAGTTCCCAGGGGCACTGTTGTGTGTGTACAGCCTCACCAGAGCTCTTAGAAACAGATGAGCTTTTTTTTTTGGCTAAACACTCACAAAATAGTCATAAATTCCAAGCTGGTTCCAATAGAAATGGATTGGTTTTTCACACAAACAGCAGCTGAGGCAATAAAAGTGCTCCTGGATAGCTCACTACTTCAGACTGCATGTGGGGGGTTATATAAAAAAGGAAGCATTCCCTGCAAAAGAATAACTAGTATATAAAAGAGCTATGCTTAAACTCTTTCCCCTGCTATCTAAGGTCACATTCATATCAAGCATTTAAAGCACTATGATACCACTTTAACAGCCATTGCTTCCTCTCAAAGAATCCTGCGACCTGCAGCTTGTTAATTGTAGGTGTTGAGAATTGTTTGGAGACTCCTATTCCCTCCTAGAGTAGTTTAACAGTCAATTCCTCTTCTCAGGGAACTCTGGGAAATATATGTGAAGGTAAGAGGGGTCTCCTAACAACTCTCAGCACCTACAGTTAACAAGCTACAGTTCCTGGGATTATTTTGTGATTCTATATGCATGCAGTTTTGTTTTCACGAAGAAGCATTATACCATACAATGCCCCACCCCATCTGAGGGGGTACAGTCCAGGAACAGTTTTTAGCACCCCACCTGATGGATGTGTGTCAACTATCCAAGACATCTCAAATAGGAAACTGCCTTATAATGAGCCAGACCCTTGTTTCATCTAGCTCAGCATTGACTCCATGGACTGGAACTGGGTCTCCAAGATTTCAGACCCCACATTCCCAGCCCCACTAGGAGATGCAAGGGATTAAACCTGGGAGCTACTGCATGCCACGGCCCTTCTCAATGAAACACTACAGCTCCTATGGCCACCTTCTTTATAGCCTAGGGGAACTTCATTAACCATATAGTCCTCCAAGGCACAGAACTACACATAGAATGGCCTCTTCATGGTTGAACTTCTGTAGCTCTTTAATAAAATTTGCTCCATCTCAGTAAGCATTTCACAGTGTGGAGCTAAGAAACCTATTAAAGTTTTTGTGTGTGCTCAGCTCAGAGTCTATCAAAGAAGAAGAAGAAGAGTTTGGATTTGATATCCTGCTTTATCACTACCCTAAGGAGTCTCAAAGCGGCTAACATTCTCCTTTCCCTTCCTCCCCCACAACAAACACTCTGTGAGGTGAGTGGGGCTGAGAGACTTCAAAGAAGTGTGACTGGCCCAAGGTCACCCAGCAGCTGCATGTGGAGGAGCGGGGATGCGAACCCGGTTCCCCAGATTACGAGTCTATTGCTCTTAACCACTATACCACACTGGCTCTATCGAAAGGTAGTGTGCATTGGCATTCTCTTCTCTTCCAACACAAACATTTCCCCCTCCTGTGCACATGGCTAGGTCCTGTTTTGTTTTATGGCATACTGATTAAAATCTGGGAGGATCAACAGGGAATTTCTATGTTTCCTTCTTACCACTTCAGGCAAACACCCCAATATTAAAATCAAGCCACTGGGTGATTTGAAGAGTAAACAAACAAGCAAACAAACAAACAAACAAATCAGATGTATGTATAAATTATGTTTGTTGGATTTTGAATGCTAATTTCACCAGATGACTTCTAGGTACGTTAATTGACAAATGTCCTTATTCCCGCCCCTCCTTTGTTGGAACCTTATAGTTCAATCCCATGCATCTTTACTCAGATGTGAGTTCCATTGTGTTCAGTAGGGCTTATTGCATAGGATTGCAGCCTAAAATGAGTTTATGTGATTCAATCATCCTTCTAATTAACCATTCTGTTCTTAAATTAAAAACCCCTCATTTCTTAGCCTAATAAATCTTAGGGTCACTTTTCACTAAAATATTTCCTATGGAATTTTTTGTGCAAAGCACTTGTGTACTGTATTACCTATGAAAGGTTTATGCACATTTGAAATAGGCTTCCACCCCTGCTACAATATGCTGAAGCATTAAAAGAAAAGGGAAAGGACTACATATCTCTTTCCATACGTTTCAAAAGGGAAAGTCTATGCTTGCAACACTGATGTGCCTTTCACGGCTGATGAAGAGCAGTTATGTTCTGTAAGTATTCATACCAAAGTATTATATAACTTGTGAGAAGCAGGTACAGTGGTACCTCAGGTTACATACGCTTCAGGCTACATATGCTTCAGGTTACAGACTCCGCTAACCCCGAAATAGTGCTTCAGGTTAAGAACTTTGCTTCAGGATGAGAACAGAAATTGTGCTCCGGCTGCACGGCGGAGGCCCCATTAGCTAAAGTGGTGCTTCAGGTTAAGAACAGTTTCAGGTTAAGAACGGACCTCCGGAACGAATTAAGTACTTAACCCAAGGTACCACTGTATTATAATGCAAGGCGTTTCATACTGCTAATTGTTGTCATTACTCTTCCCTGTGACCCACCCTGGACACACTTCTGTTATATCTTTTCTGAAACAGGATTACCATAATGCTGTTTCCAAGGTGCAGATGAACTACTGCTTTAAATAGCACAATACCATAATTTTATTTTCTCTACTCTCCCCTTCCTGTTTCTACTAATCCATGGATCATGCAGAACCTTCATTTAGACTACCTCATTCATTTCAATCAAGAAAGTCAGTGCTTACTCAATATGGAGGTCGGATGGCCGAAGTATTGGGAAATCTTGGAACAGGATGGAGATAAGTGGAAATTACAAAGTTATGAGAAATTGAAACATAAAGTACAAAATTGGCTTCAATATCATCAAATAATGGAGCTTTTCAAACAGGACAGGAAAATTGGCTTTCAGGTGGAAAAATCAAAACTAGAGACTGAACTGTTAGAACCCAATACTAAGAATTTATCAAGAATGTATAACTTGTTGCTGAAATGGAATACACAGGATGAAACGGTGAAATCAGCTATGATTAAATGGGCACAAGATATTGGTCATGACATTATGTTTGCTGACTGGGAACAGTTATGGACCACCGGTGTTAAGTTTACGGCATGTAATGCCTTAAGAGAAAACATAATGAAAATGATTTACAGGTGGTACATGACCCCAGTCAAGCTTGCGAAAATTTACCATTTGCCCGATAACAAATGTTGGAAATGTAAAGACTGAAGGTACCTTCTATCACCTTTGGTGGACATGCCCGAAGATTAAGGCTTTCTGGGAAATGATCTATAATGAAATGAAAAAGGTACTTAAAAGTACTTTCCTTAAAAAACCAGAGGCCTTTCTCTTGGGCATTGTCGGCCAATTGGTGTCAAAGAGGGATAGAACTTTTTTTATGTATGCTACAACAGCAGCAAGAATACTCATCGCAAAGTATTGGAAGACACAAGATCTACCCACTCTGGAAGAATGGCAGATGAAAGTGATGGACTATATGACATTGGCCGAGATGACAGGCAGAATCCGTGACCAAGGAAAAGAGACGGTGGAAGAAGAATGGAGAAAATTTAAAAGTTATCTTAAGGACTATTATAAACTTGATGAATGTTAGAGTGTTATGGTTTTCAGGAACTAAGGGATACAGTGATATAAGATCAGATTACAGAGATAACTAAGGACAGAGGTTGGAAAGTAACAATTGGGAGTTGCTACAAAACTATGGACATTGGGATGCAGAAAGGGGGGGGTACGGGGGAGTCTCAGAAAAGAGGTTTATGAAAAACATTATGAAATTATACGTGTTTGTATGTCTTTTTAAGTGTTTGTTTGTTCTTAAAATTTTGTAAAACTAATAAATTTTTTTTCAAAAAACAAAAAAAAAAGGAAAGTCAGTGCTTGCCCATATTCCTTTGCTGATGTGGATCAGCTCCCCCAGAGATCTATATGAATATCTGATTGCAAGCAGATCTCTAGAGTGAGGCAATAATCTTCAGATGAGCCATTTTCTGTCATGTGTATCATATGAATTACATCTTTAAAATAAAAACCTGACATAGCCTTCTCATAAATATCAGGTATGTTCTTTGCATTAAAAAAACCAACAACCAGGTTCAGAATATCTGGCAAACGGTTGTTAAAGTGGGACATTAAAAATAACTCACATTCTAGAAATCAACAGAATTAGCACTAGAACACTCATCTTCCTCATAATTCAGGCGGTGGAGAAGAAGAGTAAATGTATTCAAATGAGAGTCATTCCCTCCTCCTTTCCGACACACATTCTAAAGGGATGGAACACATTGTGAACTATTAGCACATTGAAAATGGCAGTTGATTATAGAGCATGGGTGCCATTATTGGAAGAGTTTAGTCTGTCATCAAATGCCAGTCAGAGCACAGTGTTCGAGGAGCAGGAACATCAGATGTAGAGAAAGTGAATAGCCATTAGGCAGAGGTTGAGGAAGAAGAGTGGGAAAGGAACTGAAGCAGAAAATTAAATGGCCTGATACTGACGTTAAATAATAGCTGTGGGTCACCCTGAATCTTACTGGCCTGATAGGGAGCACACATTAACATTCCTTAGTTGTGATCAATTTTTGATGTGGCAGGTACTTTTCACTGTGCTCTTAGATGAACCGGGTGGCTTCTGCTGTTTAAAGGCTCTTTGATTATCTAATTTTGCTTCATACCCTTTGTGAAATTTTGGATACTCCACCCTCCTTTCATTAACTCTTCTTTTAAAAAAAAATTGGCCCTCCTCTGGGCCCCTCTCTCATCAGTCTCTAATTATTATTGCCATCCATTCTGGTTTGGCTGCTGAGGCCTAGCGATCTGAGGTGGCCACATGGGAAATCAGTGCTGCTGAGATATGTGTTAGAGCTGCCAGATTCATGTCTAGCGGGAGGTTCTTTTTTTTCTGGCTTTCATTAGCTCTTTTGCTTTTTTTGTTTGTTTGTTTGCTTCCCTGAAAGCAAAAGGTGGAAAAAGATTACAGTGAAATCTAGAAGGGCTTGAATGGAACGCTCAATGGTTTCAGGACCAGGGATTCTGGCAGTTTTGCTCCCTGGTCTTCTCTGTTCTAATTCAGAGGATCTCAAGTAACGAAGAGGCACATTTAGTATTCTCTCTCTCTCTCTCTCTCTCTCTCTCTCTCTCTCTGTGTGTGTGTGTGTGTGTGTTTGTGTGTAAGAGAGAGCTTTGCTGGCTTTCTCCATGAAGGGCTAGACTAGAGTAAGGAGGAGTGGTCTGTTCATCCCTCGCCCCTCGTGAGAAGGGAAATACCTGCAAAAGCTTGAGGCTGGTGTAGGTAGGAGCCCCAGTCATTGGTGCACTTGGGTACTACAGCACCCTGTGTTTGTCCCTATGCCCTTGCACTGCCTTCCCAAAGGCAGGTAAGGAGGCGCCCGGCTTTGGAAGGGAAGCGTGAATGCTCTGGCCAGGTCCTGGAACCCTCCTACCACCTTCCCAAACCTGGTGAAGTTCTAACTAGGCTTTGAGAAGAAGGTGGGTGGGCTCTAGAACACTGTCCGAGCCTCGCGCCCCCTTCCCAAAGCTCAGCGCCTCACTTACCAGGCTTTCAGGTGGTGCCATCTCAGCTCAGTGCCTAGTGCATGTGCCTCTCCCTCACACGGCCCTAAATCTACCCCTGACCCAATTCCATGGGCATGTTAGAGGAATAAGGGAGCTTTGGATGTGGTGGGTTCAGGCTGCTGCTTTGGTTTCTACCACTGACAGGGAGATTGCTGGATGCAGAAGGGAAAGGGTGTATCTGCTTTGCATGCAGAAGGTCCCGGGTTCAATCGCTGCCATCTCCAGGGCTGGAAATGTCCTCTTTCTGAAAACCCTGGAGAACCACTGCTAGCCAGAACAGATAACCCTGTGCCAGAAGTACCATTAATCTGACTTGGTATAAGGCCACACCTTCTGATATATGTCAGTGGAGCACACAGAGGGACTCTGGGGGTGGATGTGCTAACCCACCAGTGGAGCTGCTTTGACCCTGCCTCAGCCGGCCTTTGCCAGAGGTTAAAACTGCTGTGCTAGTCCCTGTTTGATAAGTATTTTGCTCCTCTTGAAATCTTATTGGTCCACCTTCTCCTCATACGAAACTCACACTCATAATGAAACTGTTCTGAAGGGCTCTCACATTTATCTGAGTGATTTTTAAAGTCTCTCTAAAGGGTTTTATTATCATTTTTTAAAAAAGTGGGAAGTTTTCAGAAATACTTTTCTTAATTTCCCCCCCTAATCACCTCTAAACTCAGATTTCTTACTTATCAGCATGCCCTCTGTACCACAGAGTATTGCCTTGCAGAACTGCTGACCAGCTGCAGTTTTGGGTGCTTTCATGTTCTCCTCAGAACTTCTGCCTTTTTAATTTTATTTCCCCTCCGTCCCAATGAGAGAGGCACGGCAGCAGCAGAATGCAAATGGGAACTGCCAAGAGAGGAATACACAGTTTGTCATTTGTCACTGCCAAGACTCATCAGTAATACAGTATCATGAGAGAAGAAGAGGGAGGGGAAGAGGTGATTTTACTTCAACATTTAAGCATGATATTGAAGTGAGATTTGGATAAATTCCCCCAAAGAAAACTAATGCTTACTTTGATAGTTGCTGTGAAGCAAAGACATGTAGACAGGGAGGCATCATTCATTTTCTTACTCCAGAGACTTCTTTCAGTAGCTTGCTTGATGTTTTTAAAATTCCGCCTCACTTTGCATACCTGCTCGATTCCTGTTGAAGACAGCAGATGTGGCATAATTGACCAGGAAGTTCTCCTGCACATGGGGATGCTCTTGCACAGCTTCCATTCCTTTCGAGGGGGTTGTGTGTGGAAGAAGTTCCTGTTAAATGGTGCCCAAAGTCAGTAGGAACTCCCAATAAACTATCTGCCTCATTTGTAAAAAAGTTAGAGAATCTCATTTCACCTTTAATGTTAATGGGGGTGAACCTAAATCCATTCAGCAAGACTATATTCTAAGAAAGGCAAATAAGAACAAATTGGGTGAAAAAGTAATAAAATAGGCAGAGATTTAATAGATTTGTGGATTATGAAGCTAAGTGCTGACATGCTGCTTCATATACTAGCACCGATTATTAATACTGAGTGTTGCTTTTGGCAACATAACCACAATTTTGTAGCAGGAAGTTAAGAATTGTTTCAAAATGTCTTTTGAGTGATGGCATTCTGTCTGGCTATTTGGTGCCGTGCTTGTTATTTTATAAACATTGTATGTTTTATTAAATTTTAATACCCATTTATATGTGGGTCTTTATTATATTCCA